AGACCTTGTCTCTACAAAAAATAAAAAAATTAGCCAGCTGTAGTGGCACATGCCTGTGATCCCAGATGCCTGGAAGACTAAGGCAGAAGGATAACCTAAGCCTAAAAAATCGAGGCTGCAGCAGCCATCAGTGTGCCACCGTACTCCAGCCTGGGCAACAGAGTGAGACCCCAACTCAAAAAAAAAAGTAAAAAATTTAGCAGGGCATGGTGGCGTGTGCCTGTAGTACCCCCAGCTCCTCGGGAGACTCAGGCTAGAGGATCACTTTAGCCCAGGAGTTCAAGACTGCAGGGAACTATGATCACCACTGCCTTCCAGTCTGGGCAACAGAGAAACACCCTGTCTTTCCAAAAAAAAAAAAATTCCCATGAGGAAAATTCCAGGACCAAATGGTTTTACTACCAAGTTCTACCAAGCATCTAAGGAACAAAAAAATTATAATCTTACATACTATTCCAGATTTTAGAAGGAATACTCTCTAGTTCATTGGATGAGGCTAGCATAACCTTGATATCAAACCTGACAAAGGCATTTTGAGGAAGTAAAAGGAAGTCTTTGTTTGCACCTACATTTTATTTATTTATTTATTTGAGTTGGAGTCTCACTCTTGTCACCCAGGCTGGAGTGCGGTGGCACGCTCACGGCCACCGCAGCCTCGACCAGCTGGGCTTAGGCAATCCTTCCACCTCAGCCTTCCAAGTAGCTGAAACTACAGACACATGCAACCATGCCCGGCTAATTTTTCTGTGACTTGTTGTAGAGACAATGTCTCACCAAGTTGCCCAGGTTGGTCTCGAAACCCTGGGCTCAGGCAATTCTCTTGCCTCGGTCTCCCAAAGTACTGGGATTACAGGCTGACCACGGCACCCCACCCACACTACATTTTAATGTAGTATATATTTACATGTCCATCCTACCCTCTAGACTGTGAACTTCTCTAGGGAAGATACATTTATTATTTTTGGTCACCCTAAGTGTCAGACCTAATGATTTAATCACCAGTAAGACCTATTTCTGCTGTGTAGCAGACACTCAGTAAATATTTTGGGGTTAAATGAGCTGATGTGGGCTACTGCCAGACCATCGCAGCCATTGCCTTACTAGACTCTGGTGTGGCCATGTGCTCTTTGAGCTATGGCTGTCACTATGCTTCCTGGCTTTGGACCTTCCTCTACCTTGGAGAGATGAATCACCTCTCCTCTTCTCTCTCTCTCTCTCTAACTTACTTTTAAATAAACTATATTTTCTAATCTAACTTTTATGTAATTCCTTGCATCTTTCATGTGGCATCAGATCACACACCGGACACTCACGCCCTCAGTAAGCGTGACCTAACATTCTGCAGGCCCCACTAGGAGTATGACCCTAATAAATCTTTTCTTTTTGCATAAGATTATCATGAACTTTTACTTTGAAGAAAAAAAGAAAAACAAGTAAATAATGGTTTACTTATAAAGTGAAGTTTAAAACAAAATCAATATTTGCTATTGGTAGAACTCCTCCTTAGAACTAATAATTTTGCTTGTTCACTATACAAATGTCTTCGCTTTATGCTAGTTTAAAAGAATCAGAAATCTTTTGTCAGATAAAATTACAACTGATTAAAATTTTAAAAAAAAAAGAGCTGATGTGAGGATCAAATGAAATAAGAGTTTATGAACCATAAATGTGCTGATTATATTCCTACACTACTAAAAAAGAAAACACAATTTATACATATTATCTCAAGCCTACAACAGCCCACTTTAAAGCAAGCACAAATACCCCTACTTGGTAGAAGGGGTACATGAGATTCAGGGAGATTAAACAACGTCCCAAGAACAGACAGCTAACAGGTGAGAGAACTAGGATTTGAGCCAAGTCAACTGCTGCATTCAAGATCTTACTACCTCAATATTCCTCAAACTCATTTCTCCATCTTTCAGTTGCTTAGTTCAGGCACTCTTCTTTCTCAGAAGCCAAACAGCAAAGCCATAAAAGAACTGACTTTGGAATCAAATACAACTATGTTTGAATCCCAGTTGTCATTTATCAGTTGTCTCATTTTCCATTTGTAAATTAGAGATATTACCTATCTTCTATGATTGTAGAAGTACTCAAGAAAAAAATCAGTGTCCAGTATACAGAAAATATTCAAAATATAGTAGTTCTTACAATTCCTTTCTATAAGTCCTTTAAATTCATGCTAGGCTGGGTGTGATGGCCGAGGTGGGAGGACTGATTGAACCCAGAGTTTTGAGACAAGCCTGGGCAACATAGCAAGATCTCGTCTCTACAAAAGAATTTTTTAAAAATTAGCCCAGCATGGTGGCCTGGGACTGTAGTCCTAGTTACTCAGGAGGCTGAGGTAGGAGAATTGCCTGAGCCCAGGTCATGATCATGCCACTTCGCTCCAGCCTGGGTGACAGAGACTTCTGACTCTAAAGAGAAACTATAGTCCACTTAAAAAATTAAAATAAGCCGGGCTCGGTGGCTCAGCCTGTAATCCCGCGCCTTTGGGAGGCTGAGGTGAGTGAATTGCCTGAGCCCGCGGGTTCAAGACCCGCCTGGGCAGCGAGACCTCATCTCTACAATAAATCAAAAAATCAGCTGGGCGTGGTGGTGCATGCCTGTAATTCCGGCTACTCGGAAGGCTGAGGCGGAAGGATCACCGGAGCCCAGCAGGCCGAGGCTGCGGTGGCCGGGAGCGGCCACTGCACTCCAGTCTGGGCGACAGAGTATGACTCCAACTCAAAAAAAAAAAAAAAAATTAAAATTAAAAGGCCAGGCATGGTGGCTCATACTTATAATCCCGGCACTTCGGGAGGTAGACACCCAAGGATGATCACTGGAGGTCAGGAGTTCAACAACAGACTCAGCAATATGGTGGTGGCAAAACCTCGTTTCTTCAAAAAGTAAAAAATTAGACTAGTGTGGTAGTGTGTACCTGTCGTCCCAGCTACTCAGGAGGATTGCTTGAGCCCAGGAGTTTGAGGCTGTGGTGACCCATGCTCATGGCACTGCACTCCAGCCTGCACAACAGAATGAGACCCTGATTCAAAAAAAAAAAAAAATACACACACACACAGACACACACACACACACACACACACACACACACACACACACACAATATATATATATACATTATATATATATTAGCTCTTACAACTATTACTATTAGTGTCTCATTTGTGTCTTTACCTACCTTTTTCCTGTAATCCCTTTTCACTGCCATAAGTTATTTTTTCTACAACCAAATATCCTGCTTCGCTAATAGTAAGACCAACTCTCCAGTCACTCCTTCCCTTCATCCGTTTGTCCCTCTCTTTTTTGCCTCGCCAATACCAAATGCTTATAATACCCATGCTCTTATGACACCATGTCTTTGGCACATGTTCTTGCTCTCTATAACAGGGGTCCCCAGCCCCCCGGCCACCGACAACAGCCACTATCAGTCCGTGGCCTGCTAGACATGGGGCCACACTGCAGGTGAGCGGCCAGCAGAGCCTCATCTGCCTTTACAGCCGCGCCCCCCCATCACGTGACCGCCCAAGCTCCGCCTCCCGTCAGACCAGCAGCGGCACCGGGGCACGAACCCCACTGCGAGCTGCACCCCACTGCGAGCTGCACCCCACTGCGAACTGCACCCCACTGCGAGCTGCGTGTGCGAAGGGTCGGGGTTGGGCGCTCCTTACGTGAATCTGATGCCTGATGATCTGAGGTGGAGATGAGGCGGCAATACTATACATTTCATTATATTTTACAACGTAATAATAATGGAAATAAAGTGCGTGATAAATGTAATGTCCTTGAATCATCCCGAAACCATCCCTCACTACCGTCCAACGGAAAAACTGCCTTCCACGAAACCAGACCCTAAGCCAAAAAGGATGGGGACCACAGCCTCAGCACCTTCCCACTTCATTTGCCTAGCAAATTCTGGCTCATCCTTCAAACCTTAAGTTCAAACATCTCCTCTGAAGTCTTCTCTGATGCAGCCTGACCATTCACTTCTCTGTTATTGCCGTTGTAACTCACACATACTTCTCCGTTATAATTAGCACATTACATTAGGGCCACTTAACTATTAACACGTACTGGATACTCACTTTTAATTCCTAGCACTTAGCACAGTGCCTGGAACATGAGAAGTGATGAAAAGCACCTGAAGAGCTCAATGCAAGCCCATTCCCACAGTCCCCAGGACCACAGTCCATCAGTTCCCTCTCTCTCATGCCCAATCTTATTCTTGTCCACTGATCTCCTCCTTTCAGTTTAGTAATATACTACTCTACCCTTAGCAGGCTCCACTGCTCCCTTAAGTACTAGCTCACTTCTCTCTTCAATGTATAGCACATAATCATTTCTCAGTTTGTCATCATCCCAGATAGAAGACATTTTTGTTTTCTCATATCACAAAGTCCAGCTTCTATTTCACTCTTCCACATATTTTTTATTAGAATGAGATGTTTAAATGTATTTTCTTGATCACCCCGATAAAGCCTGAAATTCTTCTTCTCTGTCCCAATTAGAAAACTGTTAACTGCTCCCAAAACAAACACACAGCTCTTCAGGGGACTATTTCCCTTTTTTTTTTTTGAGTCAGAGTCTCTCAGTGCTGCCCAGGCTGGAGTGTAGTGGCATGCGATCCTTTTGCCTCAGTCCTTCAAGTAGCCAGAACTACAGGCACATGATATCATGCCCGGCTAAGTTTTTGATTTACTGTAGAGATGAGGTCTCGCAAGCTGCCCAGGCTGGTCTCGAACCCATGGGCTCAGGCAATCCCCTTGCCTCAGTATCCCAAAGTGCTGGGATGACAGGCTTGAGCCACTGCGCCCGGCCTTCCCTTTCTTTTAAACAGTACCAGCTGCTTGAGAGGCTGAGGCAAGAGGATCACTTGAGTCCAGGATTCTAGGCTACAGTGAGCTATGACAGCACCCTGAGTGACAGAGTAATTCCTCAACTCTAAACAAAAACTTGAATGAAATAATAAATAAATAAACAGTAAAGTGTATTACCTGAATAAGAATTAAGAGAAACTGTCCACCGTACTGTTAGTCCTATTAAGACCACTACTGTCATCAAGTACCATTTCTCCATAGTTCTTCAAATTAAGGGAGGGAAGAAAAACACAGGACTAGTGTCAGAAAATTTTTAGTACGAGATTAGTCACTTCTTTTCTTGTTCAGAGAAATGTTATCACTTCTTTGGAATTAGGAGTTTTGAGAGGATTTATGATGCTCTGTAGAAGTAGCCTGGAGGAAAAAAGACACCAAGATTTAGCTGAGCACAGTACCTATAACAATGAACCTATTAAACCCAGGAGAAAGCTAGAGAACTGGGGGCAGGGAGTGTTGGGAGGGATATGGAGGAAAGGGAGCATTCTTAAATTCCTTTTTCCCTAGTGCTTTCACTCAGAAATACACCACAAAAGGTAGCGCTCCTTATTAAATGGGACTCAATATGGCTAAAGACACCATACGGATCTGCTCTCATGGAGAATATTTCTGAGAGAAGAAAACAACAGAGATGTGCAGATAACAGCACAGTCAAGTCTATCTATGGCAGGTCTACCCTACAGGTAAACAGAAGACCTCAAAGGTGGACAAAGGGGTGATTTATCTTTGGTACAGAGAGAAAAAGGAATTTTGTCTTTGTATTTCCTTTGAGAAAGTCTTCCACTAAAGTAGTTTCTGTAGTTTGTACTTCTTTTCTGCCACAATATACTTGCACTAACCACACCAATTTTAGAGAAATGAACCTTTGCAAAAATTGATAAGAATAATCCCAAATCTTAAGCAAAAATACAAAAGCAGTAAAACCCAACTAACCGCTTGCATATATTTTTCTTCCTCACTGTTTTCCTTACGTTGGTTTTTTTTTGTTTTTTTGAGTTGGAGTCTCACTCTGTTGTCCAGACTGGAGTGCAGTGGCCGCTCCCGGTCACCGCAGCCTCGACCTGCTGGGCTTTGGTGATCCTTCCACCTCAGCCTTCCAAGTAGCTGGAACTACAGGCGCGCGCTACCACACCCGGCTCATTTTTGATTTATTGTAGAGATGAGGTCTCGCCAAGTTGCCCAGGCGGGTCTCAAACCCACGGACTCAGGCAATCCACTCACCTCGGCCTCCCAAAGTGCTGGGATTACAGGCTGAGCCACCGAGCCCGGCATGTTGAGGTTTTAAAATAAGCAAATTAACACTGTCTTCTCTTTGAAAAAGAATGAGTAATTTTAACCACAGGATATACTTCAAATATATTCTGAAAAATTAATGGATCAACTAAAAAATGTAGGGGAAAACTGGTGCATTCCATCCATCGGTCTAAAATTATTTCCTCGGTAGCTCAGCCTGTAATCCCAGCGCTTTGGGAGGCCGAGGTGAGTGGATTGCCTGAGCCCGCAGGTTCGAGACCTGCCTGGGCAACTTGGCAAGACCTCATCTCTACAATAAATCAAAAATTAGCCGGGCGTGGTACCACGCACCGGTAGTTCCAGCTACTTGGAAGGCTGAGGCGGAAGGATCGCCAGAGCCCAGCAGGTTGAGGCTGCAGTGACAGAGTGAGACTCCAACTCAAAAAAAAAATAAAAATAAAATTATTTCCTTACTTAAAATAAAAACATCGAGTTTAGCCAGGTGTGATAGTGCGTAACTGTAGCCCTAGCTACCTGGGAGGCTGAGACAGAAGGACGCTTGGAGCCCAGAAGTCCAAGGCTGTAGTGTGCTATGGTCAGGTCACTGCACTCCAGCCTGGAGGACAGAGCCGAGACCCAGTCTCAAGAAAAATAAAAATCAAGGAACAACTCCAGAACTGCTCCGAGTGCCCTTGATCCAGCTGACTGGTTCAACTTTTGTCACTCATATCTCAAATCACCCCGGGAAACATCATCCTGACCACCTGACTAAAGATCCCTCCCCTCACTGTTGGTATCATTCCCTTTCATTTCCTTCCCGGTTCTTTTCACTATCAGAAGTTGCATTTCACGCGACATGGCGCAATCTGACACACACACCTCTGAGCCAAAAAAAGCTGGACACCAAAGAATACACACCATAGGGTTCCAAGAAAGACTCAAAAGTAGGCAGAACTATCTTTGCAAAGAGGTTACCTCTGGGGAGACAGGAAGGGCGGTGATGCAGAGGGGTCTCCAGAGAGGTCTTCCGAGATGCCGCGAACGTTGTTTCTCGATGAGGGTGGTAGTTAAAGATGTGTTCGCTGTGTAACAGGTCGACAGGTTACAACCGACGATGTGTGTGCAGGACTTTTCTGCATGGGTGTTATCTTCCAACAAAAAAGAAGGAAAGGAAATTGCATTCGTCAACTAGAATCAAAGCCCCACGAGAGCAGGGATCCTCCTGCCATGGTGGCTGCTCTGCTCCCCCTTGCAGGACAGTTGGCGGAAGGCAGGTGGCCACGAGTGTGTGTGTGCAAGTATGTGTGTGTGCGTGTGTGCGTGTGTGCGTGTGTGTGTAGAGGAAGGTACCTACAGTTTCTGAGCCCAGTGTGGTTAAAGATATTATGACCTGCGCCTTTGGGAGGCTGAGGTGACTGGACTGCCTGAGCCCGCGGGTTCAAGACTGGCCTGGGCAGGTGAGACCTCATCTCTACAATAAAAAAATCAAAAAATTAGGAGTGGTAGCGCGCCTGTAATTCCGGCTACTCGGAAGGCTGAGGCGGAAGGATCGCCGGAGCCCAGCAGGTCGAGGTCTGGGCGACAGAGTGAAACTCCAACTCAAAAAAACAAAAAACAAAAAACAAATAAGTGTAAACTTTCAAAAAAAAAAGATATTATGTGACACTTTTGGCCGGGCTCGGTGCCTCCCAGCACTCCGGGAGCCCGCGGGTTCGAGACCAGCCCGGGCAAGTTGGCGAGACCTCGTCTCCACAAGGAACCAAAAAATTGGCCGGGCGAGGAGGCGCATGCCTGTAGCTCCAGCTACTTGGGAGACTGAGGTGGAAGGCTCGTCTGAGTCCCGCAGGCCGAGGGTGCGGTGGTCGTGGGCGTGCCACTGCCCTCCAGCCTGGGTGACGGAGTGAGACTCCGACTCAAAAAAAGAAAAAAAAAGGAAATTGCGTGACCCTTAAAGGCTAAAAAGCGCTGCTGGTGACTTTCCCCCATCAAATCAGCCCGCCGCGAAGCTGCCGGGGGCGACTCTTCGTCCCACGCGCCCCGAGGGTGGCGGGGGCGTCTGGACCCCAAATCGCCCCCGTCCCCGGGCCGTGCGTGTCCCTCTCCGCGATCGGCTC